CCCCACCCCGCCCCGCCCCATGGATGCTTTCCAAAAGGCACCATTTAACATAACAAAAGACCTCTCTACTACTCTCCACTTAAGAAATCCCAAGGGCTTTGGGAGCTGTAAGCCAGCAACTGTGGGTGTAGACCAAATATCTAGGAGAAATAGGACCAAACAGACATTTCCTCTGAATCACAGTAATGCACTAACGATGGTCATTCCATGAGAAGTCCTGGGGCAGAGAGGGGATCCCACGTCTGCGGCAGATAATGGAACAGCACAGACAGAGCTGAGGGGCTCAGAGGCTATTTGCATCCTTAGGACACTGCTGGGCTGCTGGAAGCCCAGAGAAGAAAAGTGACCTGCCAGGAAAATTCACGGCGCCCCGTTTCCTGAACTAACCGTAGTGACTTTGACAATGCAACCACTTGAGAGCAAGGGAACGTGTACTGTGCCACGCACACTGGGCATTTGCAGGCTCAGGACACCTCTGAGTGGGAGGAGACACTATCTCTGCAAAGTCGTGCGGACTCTCGAAGGCCAGGCAACTAATCAGTGCTGGGGGTTCCCCTGTGGGTCTGTCAGAGCCCCCTCCCTCCCCACCGCCTACTCTCAAATTCCATGGCACCCCAGAGATAAGGGCAGAAAAACATCCCCTACTCCCTGCTGGGAGAAAGCATCAGGTTCCAAAGACTCCATGATTATCCCTGGCTGTGGCCAGGGGCAATGTTAACTCTCCCATTTGGACAGAAAGCAGCAATGCTTTGCATCAGGGGTCGATGCCAGCAAAGCAAAGGAGGGTTAACAACAGCATCCCTAGGGGCCAGAAGGAAAAATGTCTGATGAACTTCAGATGTAGAGCTCAGGGAACGCAATCTCCGTGCACACTCACAGAACACACCTGAGGATTACTGTAGAAAGAGATTTTTTTGAACGTTAAATGGACTAAGAAGGAAACACCGTAATTGTTCTCTGCTCTCACAGATGCACACAGCACAGGCTAACGTGCCTTGTGTGCAGGGGGGGCGGGGGAAGGTGAGGGGGAAGAACAAGCAAGGGCCGCATTCTAGTTTTCTGGCCAGTGAAATACGCACTTGGCCTTGGAATTGTCCTTAAGTCTGATGAGCTACACGTTAAAATTATTACAGAGTGTAATTAACAAATGGGAAAATGCTCGTGATACGTCCTTGGGCGAAAAATGTATCAAAATAAATTATTATTGACAATTACATTAACCAGATAAAGATCTGCGTGTTCGCATGGACTGGGCTGGACCAAAATGTGGCAAACACAAAGGCATTCGTTTCTTTTGGGGGTCGGCTTACGGGCTGACGTTCTTGGTCTCATTCTTGTTAATATTTCCATAACATCGTTTGTGTGGACTGGCTCTTAAAATTATCTAAAGGGTGAAAAAAACTGATGGGCCTTTCTGGGCAAGACTGAAGAGAATTAACCTGCCTTTCTGGGCAAGACTGAAGAAAACAAAGACAGTGGGTGCTGGGGTGGGGGGAGGGACATGGCAGGACCAAAAATCCAGCTACGAAAGGAACGGAACGCAGGGGGCAGGTGGTATACAAGGAAACCAGGGTAGAGCGAGGAGTCAGGGGAAAAAATAGATTTCCTCCTTCACATCACACCCGAAAATAAACCCAGGTTGTTGAGAAGCCCAGATACGAGAAAGCAACACTAAACTTTCATGAGAAATTCAGCTCATCTTTAGTCCTTCAGGGTGTGGGAAGGGGCTCTCAAATATGCAGAGGAATTTCCGCGTTCAGGGAAAAGGGGAGAAATCTGACATTATTAAAATTAAAAAGCAATTTTTATGCAACGAAGGAACACAGAGTTACATGCAAACCACGGTCTTGAAGACTCTCCGTGGGTAGTCAAGAACCGATTTAACAGATTAAGAAGAAATGGATGAACGTTTAGTTTTTTTAACTTATTTACTTTTTTTAATGTTTACTTATCTTGGGAGAGAGAGTGAACAGGGCAGGGGCAGAGAGAGAGGGAGAGAGAGAATCCCAAGCAGGCTCCACACTGTCAGCACAGAGCCTGATGTGGAGCTTGCACTCACGAGGCGTGAGATCATGGCCTGAGCTGAAACCAAGATGCTTAACTGACTAAGCCACCCAGGCGCCCCTGAATTTTTTTTTTTTAAAGTAACATCCCAGTTTTTTTTTTTAAAGAACAGTCTATGAAAAGACAATTCCTACACTAATGCACACATCACAAGATGCTCATTCTTACTGATCAGAGAATTGTAAATTAAAAAGCACGTGAAATGCCATTTGAACCCGTAGGACTGGCGAACATACGAGGTCTGCTGATGGCATGGGCCAGTGCAGGTGAGGAGTGCCAGGCCATTAGAGACCACTGGAGGGTGTGTAAGCCAATCACGGTGGAGAACAACTGGCCAATAGTCCATGGTTGAAGATGACTTTTCTGAACGTCTAGTAACTTCTCTTCTAGAAAGCTCTCTACATGTAAACAGGAACATATGTATACCTGCCTCACTGTTTCCAGTGGGTGGAAAACCAGAATGACCTTAGTGCCCATTAGTTAAGTTTAAAAGAAAAATAAGGGGTCCCCAGGTGGTTCAGTAGGTCGAGGTGTGACTCCTGATTTTGGTTCAGGTCATGGGATCGAGCCCCGTGTCAGGGTCCATGCCCCCCACACCTCACTCGTGAGCTCTCTTTCCTTCTCTAACATAAAAAAAAAAAAAAAAACAAAACAATTTTTTTTAATTAAAAAAAGGAAAATAAATGAACTAATAAGACATGTATCCTCATGGATCAATCTTTAAAACTTGATGGAAAAAAGGGCACTGAGGGGCGCCTGGGTGGCTCAGTCGGTTAAGCGGCTGACTTCGACTCAGGTCATGATCTCGCGGTCCGTGAGTTCAAGCCCCGCGTCGGGCTCTGTGCTGACAGCTCAGAGCCTGGAGCCTGTTTCAGATTCTCTGTCTCCCTCTCTCTGACCCTCCCCCGTTCATGCTCTGTCTCTCTCTGTCTCAAAAATAAATAAACGTTAAAAAAAAAATTAAAAAAAAAAGAAAAGAAAAAAGGGCACTGAGATTATGGTCCCATTTATATAAAAGGAAAAACAAACTAGACCATGTTAGGTATTACAGTAAGACCTTGGTCTGCAAGCATAATTTATTCCCAGAACATGCTTGTCATCCAAAGCACTCGTACATCAAGGCGCATTTCAAGAACCATTGGCTCAGGCGTGACCACATTGGGCGTCACGTGCGACTTGTGTTGCAAGGCATCGCTCGTTCATCAAGTCAAAATTGACTAGAAATATTTGCTTGTGTGGAACCCTCGCAGAACGAGTTACTCGCAAGCCAAGGTTTTACCGTACTTCTAAACCCCCGCATGTCTAGAAAGAGCGTGAACACACGGCTGTGGATCGCACCCCCAAATCAGGGAGGGAGTGGCAGCTGCGGAGGGCACCCGGCATGCATTTGTCGGGTCACCACGACCCGCAGACCTTCCTCCTCGAGTCCAGGATGGGCCCTCCCTCTCCAGCTGTCCCGTGACTCACCTCGAGTGCCGTCGCCCAGAGCTGTTCCTCTCCCGCGTGGGGCTCTTCCGGGGACCCAGTTCTGGGGTCCCAGCCAGGTCCTGGTCGCTGCCGTCTTCCTGGTCCGTGGCCCACTTATCTTTGGATTTCACGCTGTCGTGCTGGGAATCCAGGGACACGATGTCTGACGGGGAGCTCACCACTCCTGAGTCTTCGGTTGTGTCCTCGGAGGCAAAACAGCTGCCGACAGACACGGTCTCCTCGGCCTCGGACGGCACCGGTGGGGCCCCGTCCGTGCCACGGGGACTGCCGGGCCCCAGGGGCAGGCTCACTGGACAAAACACGGCAAGGACACGTCAGCCGGCACGTCTCCACACGGCCGAGCGCATGTGAACACCAACCCGCCTGACTCCCCTGGACGGTGGAATTCAGGGGGCTGGGAGCACAGGAAGACCCGATCGGGCCTCACAGCTTCCTCCAGAAGCGCCTTATGGCTGGAGGGAGCCGGGTGCCGGTACGTGATCCAGAGCAAAACTTGCCCTCAAACGTCAGCACGTTCCGGATCAGCCCTTTGGCTTTTTACCCGCGTGTGTGACTGCGGGCAGACGCGTTTAAAAATTCCGACAAATGACACAGCGTTTGCCATGCTTTCCAGCCTGACCCTTGCTTCCGCTGAAGTTGTTCTGAAGTGAGTTCTTCCCCCAAGACCATCCAGACATAAACAAAATGAGAAGTAAATAATACTGTGTGGGAGCTTCTGACAAACGTTCCACAGGAACATTCAGAATCCGCCCTACAGGGTCAAACTTCATGCCTCGTCGGCATCTGCCTCCCCCTCCATTTTTATCTAATTTGTTTCCTCCCCTTCGTTTTTTTTTTTACACGCGAACAGGGAGCTCTGTTCCAAACAAGAGGGGATCCTGGAAGATTACCTCCAAGACCAATGAGAAGGAACCAGAACGCAAATGGCTCTGGTTGGGGTTCTCTTGTTCCTGAGTGAGATTTACTGCAGCAGGAAGAACAAGAGGCAGAGATTTGCAACGATCAGAGCGAGGGTTACACTGAAATAGTAATGACGGGGAACACTGTAGCCATCTGGCACAACATCCAAGCAAGCCCTTCAAAGATACATTAACTATGGAAGCACAGCGAGCCTCCGGATTCCCTAAGGTCACCGAATGCTCCATGCCTGCAGGACAGGAGGACATCACCCTGGACCAGCTACACACCAGACGTGTTTACTTCGAATTTAATGTAGAAACAGATTTTAAACCTCAAGACATCCGATCTCAGCCCTGTTCCCGGCGGTCCAGGAAGCAAGGACCGCGCTGTGCTGCGGTTTCCGGCTGTCTTGTTGTAAAACTGTTTCTCCAATACGTCGTTGCTGGATTGCTACAGTGAATTAAGGCCGTAGGGGTGCCCAGGGCTCACTGCACGTGATCACGACCTGGAGTCCCGCGACGGCCTCACAGGGACATGCTTTGAACCGGACAGCAGACTTTGCAACGTATTATTAATGAACCCAAAAGAGCGCCAAGGAGAGCGTTCCTCGAGGGGCTGGCTTATTTGAGATCCCGAACAATGAAATAAACAAAAGAACAAAATTACATATGTATAAAAAAAAACAAAAAAAACAAAACACAGACATTTCACAACAGAGCTCGAAAGGAAAGACCAGAGCACAAAGGAGGAATTGTTTAGAGGCACAAATGCGCGAGGCGATGTGTCCGAACCGCACGCAGCGAGCGCTGTTAACAATACCCGCCTTCTTTCAGTGTTTTTCCTCGGTGCCATCTGCTAATGTCAACTCGAGGTGTGTCTGCACAGGTGGAGTGGGGCTGGCTGGTCGGAGGGAGGTGTCAGCATGCAGCAGGGTCCCAAACAGGTGGCTCGGTCCAGTCCCGGTCCCCCTCTTCCCACCCCAGGGGTCACCCAAGTGTGAAGTAACCCCAAAGAAGCCTCCGGGACCGCCTGCGGCTAGGGGGTCCTCCTGGCACACTCGTGTCCTGGACACTTGGAATACATCCCTGGCGGACGGGGGACGCCAAGCCCTCCCCATCCCCTTTCTCTCCAGTTATGCGATCCAGAATGCTGGCCTGGGCTTGCTTTACACCCTACAGACGTTTGGGAGCAAAAAAAGCAAGTAGAAAGTCACTGCTCTAAATTGAGCCAACTGCAAACCTAAGTCGACAAGGTGTGAGGAGTCTATATTCGGCGTGTATGTGTGAAACCATTTTAACAATATACGGTAAAGACTGCCATTTCCGGAGCTCCCCTCCTGCCCGGGCAAGTCCCTTCTAATGGATCACCTTCCCAGGGCCAGAGTAACTGCATCCTTGAACCCACCGGACAGGTGTTCGGTGAGGGTCCACCCATGCGCCGCCCCCGGGGTTCAGGGAGCAGGTAAGGGCGGCCACACTGTCAGGAGGGTGGTCACCCAGGCACGGGAGGAACAAGTGCATAAAGGCCCAGGGAGAAGGGACCCACCTCAGGGGACTGGCCAAGGAGAGATCAGCAAACAACTTCCTGAAACATTGCTGGGGGAGCCATCAAAGCCGGCCCCGATCTGGAGATAGGAAGGAACATTCGTGTGAGGCTCCAACCTGGCTCGGTGTGGTTTTCATGTCTGTCTGCAGTCAACCCCGTCGGTCTGAGAATCTTCGCTTAGAATCGGACATCACCACCTCCCTCGCCCTGCCCCAGCTTTGAGTCTCCTCTGGGCTGGTTCCTACTGTTAGCCCTGTGAGCTGTAACATGTTTTGACCATTTCTGAGTAAGATAATGGTGCAGGAGAATTTTTTTTTTTTTCCTTTATCAATTCTAAACAGAAGCCCAAAACATAGAAGAAAAGCTTGGAGCGGCTTTGGCTGTTATTTATGGGGCCGTCTAGATCCTTCTGTGCACCCCTCACCTCCCTCATTTAGCCCCTGATTCCATGAAGCCAGTGGTCCTGGGGACCCCAACTTGAAATCCAGGGACAGCCCAAGAAGGGCTGGGTTAAGAGCCCGAATCCCACATCCAGGTCCAAGTTCTACTCTAAACTCGGAACAGCCTTTTCCCCTTTCTGTAAAATAAGCATGTGGGTTCTGAGGAGCTCTAAAATCCCTTCTAGGTACAGAGTACTACTGTTCTCTGAAATTCCAAATTTAAATGTAAGATGCAAACGTTCTTTGGACAGTTGACTAGTGACTAGGAATTGTAAAAGGGATGCGTCATTGTCTACGTCCTTTCTGCCGCCTTCCATCGGCCCTAAAAGTATAGCTCGTGATTTGTGAGCTAATAAATTTACTGGCAAGTCTGCTCTTCTCTCAAGGCGTGAACAACCTTTTTGACCTAAAAAGTTACCACTGCAAGATTTTTGCAAATGTGAAAACCACACTTAATTTGTCTTTAGCAGAAGCCTAATCTAAATTCTTGATTAAATTCTCTTCCAAATGAATGGCCATAGAGCCTGAGTAAGGAATACTAACCCCTTCACTGTCCTCCACCTAAATTTTATAATCCTGTGGTTCAAATGCCCTTCTGTCTCAATGAGAGCTTCCAGAAATTTCTCTAGCTAAGGTGTAAAGAAGAAAATGCTAACTTACGGCTTCCAGTTCCTCAAGGTGAACACCATCATGTTCCATTCAGTACCCACGTCATTGAGTTTTTCATTTACAAAGTCACCAAAAAAATTTCAAACATGAAACATAAGGATCTTCCAAGGACTCTTGTAACGGATTCAGTTTTGAGTGATTTTATTGAATGTAAGTGCAAGGTCTTGTACCCTAAATCGTGGTCTCTTGCTAGTCATGACTAAGGGAGATTCCCCAAGGGTCACTTTCACCACATTGATGTGGACCAAAGACAATGTCTCACAGAAAGGATTCTTTTTCCCCTCTCACTGATGCCTATGATTTCCGCACATTATTGATAGCCAATAACCGATGCTCATCTTTCATCCCGACTACTTTGGTTTAATTCCCTATGTTCTAAGAACTAAGAAAAAAGGGAAGAAACAGGGGAGATACTGGAAAAGTGCTCTTGAATCAGTAGTGCAAACTGACACGTGTTTGCCGATAGTTTCTGTCATATACATCCGCAAATAATTTTGAACCACCATGTCCCCCTAAACATTTTTCACTGACACGCGAAAATTTCCATCTTGAGTTGATGGGCTGCACCAGATGTAATTTCTACTGTACTGTAAATAGCAATACTTTAAAAAGAGTTGTATCATTTTTCAATGTAATCATGGGCCCCTCAAAGGTACTGCACGATGCAGGTAACAGTACAGCCAGTTCACGATAGAGGATCACTACACACACACACACACACACACACACACACACACACAAAATTTTCTTCAAGAAGGCAGGATAATGAAGACTTTGAAAGCACTAATGGATCTAAAATAGATTCTCTGGAATCTGAATTCTCTTAAGAGTCAATGATGTAATCAATGCATACTTCTCCAGAGCCTGAGACATACGTTTAATCCTAGAATCCTAATACACCCAGGAAAATGGGCAGGGAAAATTTCAATTTCCACCACTGAAAGGCAGGACTGGATTCCAGTCACTGTTCTATTAAGACATATATAGACAACAGCTGCTGTTTTTGTCTGTCCAGCACTGTCCCCCTCCCTGTTAGTGCTAAATGAATTCCTGCTTCCTGTGGCCAACCTATTTCTCAACATCTGGGTGAGTCTAACAACTGCCCCTAACTACCCTGGGCCCTGGGGGATGGGCGTGAGAGGAACCAAAATCTGGCCAATTTAAACCGTGCACACAATGGTAGACCAAAGGAGGGCACGTGTGCTCAGCTGGACAAATCAAGGCCTGCCTCTGGACCTTCCCACCAGAGCTCCTGGGGAAGCTGGTCTCACTGGCCTGGAGTCAATGGAATGGCAGAGTCTTGGATAAATAGCCATTTGGACGAGCACATGGAGAGAACTTGTTCAGGGATGGGGGAAAACACAGTCCTAAGACAGTAATTGGGTACCTGGACTCTGCCATGACCATAATGAGGATTCATCTCTTAAAATTCCCAGTCATGTGAGCCAAAAAACTCCCACAAAAACCCACTTCCCTTAACCAGTTCAAGACATGTTTCTTTCTTTTGGAACTAAAGACTCCTATCTAATCAATAGGTAAACTACCCTGATATTTTCATCAGTATACCTATAATATGTATTAAATATGAATGCCATAATGTCAAAATATTTATTATAAATATTAGATATGTTCATATGTTTATTAATGTTAACTAGAAATACAAAAAATATATAATTATGATTAATGATTTAATGTTATATAATTATGGTTATGATTCAACATAATCTATGTTAAA